TAATCTCATATTATAATTATATTATTTTTTATATTTCCAATTAACTTAGGCTCATTTATATTTTCGCTATTTCTGGAGAACTTCGGCCGCGTTCAGATGAGGAACTGCTTATATATCAATAGAAACAATTTCGGCCAAATTATGGTACTGTCTTAATCATTTTTCAAGTCAAAGATACATGACTTTTAAAACCCCAAACTTAAATTATACATTAATAATAGAAAAAAAGGTGTATCAATTTTAATCTTTAAAAAAAGGTGTATTAATTTTAATCTTTAAAAATGGTTAAAATTTTAATTATTTTTAAAAATCAAAATTAACATACATTAATTTCTTAATAATAACCAATTTTTATAATTATACACCACTCACTGCTATACTCTTCCAATACAGTATCTTGCAACATTACACACGGCCTGTGTTTCGAAAAGGGATCATGCAGCACCGCAGCTTTGATTATATTGATTCAGGAATATTAAATTCTTGATAAATATTAAAATTTTAACCGTACTTGATAAATATTAAAATTTTAATCGTAACACCAGTAACCTTCCTATTCTTTTTCTCTCAATTGTACTTGTTCAACAAAAAAAAAAAAAGCAAAGAAATAAGGAATCATGCAGTAGGAACTTTCGCCGAGAGGAAAAAAGAGAGGGCAAATGAAACTTGTCCTGAGATATTTCCATTTAAAAATTGATTTGTGTAACATCCCGCGTTACAAAGCTGGACAACCTGATTAAACAGTTAACGCGATTTAGGGAGCAGGTGGCAGGTGAGGAGAAAAATCTTGGAAGAAAAGGTTAAGGAAAAGCAGTGGCTGCTGTCTTCTTTGGGCCCAAAAAATTGTGCCAGATTTGACTGTCAATGCATATAACGATGGCAAATGCCAACGTTAAAAGCAGGGTTTTTTTTTTTTTTTCCCTTTAATTTACTCTTGTGGTTATGGTGTCTTTGTGCTTTATATATTTTAAGACGGCAAAAGGTGCAGATCAGCCCCTGAACTCAACAACTGGTGGCAAATCACCCCTCAACCCACTTCATGCACAAATCACCCCCTCAACTCCCCTACAGTGGCAAATCAGCCCTTCTCTTAACATTTCCGTTAACATTTAACATTATGTTCATCACCCCTCTACTACATTTAACTCAATTTTATAGATTACCACAAAAAGTGTGGGACTGCTCGCCGGAGAAATTCCACCGGCAGTGTATTCACTGAAAGTGACACCCTTTTTGTGGTAATCTATAAAATTAGGATTCAATCCATAGGTTTTGAATCCAATCGTCGGATCACCGAAGGAACCTCTGCCGTATTCTTTGAATGTATCGTTCACTGGGTTAAATGTTTTCCCATAGTTGGCGAAATTCACTTCGTCGGAATGGGCATGGCTTGTGTAAGATTGGAAAGTATCATCTCCGGAATTAGCACCGTCTAGGTAGCTGGTGAATTTATCAATTCTTGAATTGGCACCGACGCCATAGGTTTTGAAATTGTTGTGTGGAGTGTTCCCTGAATCACCATATCCTTTAAACGAGTCGTTCGCCGCATTCCCTGACACGCCGTAACTCGTAAAATCCGACCTGATATTGTTGGCGTCGTTGCTGTAGCTGTTGAACTGGGACGGAACTGCATTGCCGTTCTTTCCGTAGCTTGTGAACGCTTTAGCGCCTGCATTTGCCTCCTCGGTATAGCTTGAAAATGAAAGCTTATGAGAATTAGCATCGAAATCATACAAGATAAATCCAAGATTCGGCACGTTAACTCGTCCGTCGTAGGATGTGAAATCCCCGGAGCCACTTGTGGCGTTGGAGCCGTAATTGGTGAAGTTATCAGTAGCAACATTGACATCTTTGGCGTAACCTTTGAACTCTTCTGTGTGTGCGACTGAGTCTCCACTATATTCATTGAAGGAATTAGCAGCCGTGTTTAACTCATCGGAGTAGTTCTTGAACAACCCAACTCCTCCGATTCTAGACGAACCGTACCCAGAAAAGCTTTTACCGGAGTATAGTGCAAAGTTTGGATCTTGGCCGGGTTTGGAGTTGTCCAAAGAACAGAGGAGGTTGGCTGAGGAGCAGAAGGAGCCCAAGTTTGAAGAGAGATTGTTCTGAGCGGCAATTCTGGTGAACTTGGCCAATTCCATGGCATTTACAGGGGAGCCCTTAGAGAGAAGAAACGGTGGCTGGGGAAGGTTCCCGGAGACGTGGGCCTTCCAGTATCGGATCACAGATGCTTTGGCACTGAGTGGGTTCTCTGCAACTTTGGTCATGATTCCTGCAGAAAAGACATGAAAAAACTGGAGAATATTATGTTCTAAGAAACAAGTAAAGAGAAAAAAAACAGTATGTAAATGATAGTTCTTCGTTCTTACATTGACAGATGACAAGGATAGATACAAGAAGAGGAAGAAAAGGACAGCCATGTTTGTTTGTTTATTATCTAAGAAAATTCTCAAGGGAAATGAAAATGAAGAGGAGAAAATTCTCTAGAATGCAGTAGAGGGGTGATGAACGGAATGTTAAATGTTAACGGAAATGTTAAGAGAAGGGCTGATTTGCCACTGCAGGGGAGTTGAGGGGTTGATTTGCGCGTGAAGTGGGTTGAGGGGGTGATTTGCCACCAGTTGTTGAGTTCAGGGGCTGATCTGCACCTTTTGCCTTTTAAGACAGTCTCGATTGTTTGTAAAAGCACAATGTAGGACGTGGACATATATTAATTTGTTATATTCTAAAAAATAATTTTTAAATTGGAAATGTGATTATGGCCAGGGACCGAGCCAATGTAGGACGTGGGAAGCCGCTGCCCCCTAAACTTTTAAAAAATGTCAAATATGATACATTAATTTTTATTTTTTATAAATTTTTTTTAGTTTTTGAATTATTGGAACTATTTTAAATATAGGGCAATATTTAGAAGTTAGGTAAAGGAATCATTTCTCTTTTTGTGATTAATTTTTAAGATATGAAAATTTAGTCTAAATAAGAAAAAATATTTAAAAAGTCAAAATTTAATTAATTATATTGACATAATTTATGTAAGTTTTTATATTAATTATATATAATTTTCTTATACAATTTATATTCTATGAAAATAATATTTGAATTTATTGTAGTCATATAAATTATACATTTTAAATTTAAAATTGTTTT